ATATCACGAACAGCAAAACGACCCAGAGGAGGATAGTCAGAGAAGCTCTCAACACACATGGGCTTGCCAGGAACCATGTCAACAATGGCAGCATCACCAGATTTCAAGAATTTAGGGTCATCTTCCAGCTTTTTACCAGAACGGCGATCAATCTTTTCCTTCAGCTTAGCAAATTTGCAAGCAATGTGAGCTGTGTGACAATCCAGTACAAGGGCAGAGCCAGCACTGATTTGGCCTGGATAAAACCAATAGTTTTTGAAAGAAGGCTGCTTCCTACTCTTACCAACAAAACTTTCATAATATTGTTTAGAAAACATTATTAAGAACATTGACTGTACTACCATATCAAACAAGAGTATGGGGAGTATACCACTCACAATGATCTAGAGAAGACAGTCAATTATAATAGCAATTCCCCATTATAGACCCAAGATAAGCCAATTTATACATAATCTTCATAATAATAAAGTCTCCTAAGAATAAATGTTTGTTCTTGACAACTATAACCCAGATTGTTGGGCCAGCCAGGTGGTATGGTGGTTAAGGCGGCTGGATCACAAATGGCTGACTGTGTGGTTCGAGTACTGGATCCAACAGCTTGAAAAACATGTTGTGCACATGGGCAAGTGTGATCAAAATCCTGAAAAACTAAATGAGAAGGGATTGTGATGTGGTCATCCCCTGAGGAGTACTCACTCATTCCTTCTCCTGTCTTTCTCTCCTCCCCCCTCCTCTCCCCTCTCTCCCCTCCTCTCCCCTCCTCTCTTCTCATCTCTTCTTTCCTCTCTCATCTCTACCCTTTCTCTCTGGCAAGTACACACATCCTATAACAAATAAAACAATAAATAAAAATGAATCCAAATTTCTGTAACATAAAATGCTGTTTCAGGAAGCAGAGATATAGCCAAGTTCTAGATAAATAAATTCATAGCCTTCAGCTGTAATGTCAGCTGTCAACTCTGGGGTAAAAGAGCTGACAACAGACCTCCTAAAACAGAATAAGAAATCTAAATAAAAGAAGAATATGAACTGTCCACAGGTTTAATTTATTTAGACTCACTAGTAACCAGAGATGATTGAAAACCACACACACACACACACACACATATACATACATTTTTGAGAGGTTTTTGCTATAGGGTGCATGCGCTTGCCAGAAAGACAGAGACAGAAAGCAAGTAATCACCCCCCGGGGGGATGGCCACACCGCAATCCCTTCTCCTCCATTCTCCTCTCGGGATCTTGGGCATGCACGCACACGCGCCAGGCATGAGTTTAAGCCACCAGGTCAGGGACTCGAACGGCAGTCGACTACATGGAGTCCAGTGACATAGCCATTACGCTAACTGCTGGCCCCTAAAACCATATTTTAATATAGCTTGAAAAAATACAAACATTCATTTTTACCATAAATATTCATGTAGTTATTGGCTTTCTGGTAAAACTTATTATTTTTTTTAATTAATTAATGTTTTACTGACAGAGGGCACATGTGCTCACCAGAGAGATACAGAAAAAGAAAGGGAGAGGGAGAGAAGGCATTCCACAATTGGGCTTAGTAATGCTGCAATCCCTTCTCCTCCATTTCTCTATCCTGTCAGGATTTTAAGCAGGCATGTGCAAGTACCCAGAGTGCTGTTCAAGCTTCCAGGATTTAAACAGTAGTTGGCAATATAAGATCCCACTCCCTTAAAAACTAGGCTACATGGGAACCAGCAGTTAGCGTAATGGCTATGTCGCTGGACTCCCACATAGTCGACTGCGGTTCGCATCTCAGACCCGGTGGCTTAAAACTCACGTCGGGCGTGTGTGCGTGCGTGCCCAAGATCCCGAGAGGAGAATGGAGGAGAAGGGATTGCGGTGTGACCATCCCCCCTGGGGGGTGATTTCTCACTTTCTGTCTCTATGTTTCTCTCTGTCTGGCGAGCGCACGCGCCCTATAGTGAAAAAAAAAAAAAAAAAAACTCCTCAAAAAAAAAAAAATTAAAAACTAGGCTACAGGGCTGGCCCTGACAAAATTTATATTTAATTAAAAATATAAATTCATGGCCAGCAGGCAGTGTGGTAGTTAAGGTACTGGACTCCCACATGACTATGTTTCAAGTCCTGGGCCTCGAGGCTTGAAAATCATGCTGGCATGGGTATCGTGGCACCCGCCCTATAGAAAATCACACTGGTACACATGTGTGTTTCCCAAAATCATGAGAGAAGAGAATAGACTGAGGCATGATTACCCCCTAAAGGGGATGATTTTTAACTTTACCTTTCTCTGTCTCTCTCTCTAGGCAGCACGTGTAACCTACTGAAAAAAATCTTTCAGGAACCAGCAGTTAGCATAATGGCTATGTAGCTGGACTCCCATGTAGTTGACCATGGTTCGAGTCCTGGACCCGGTGGCTTAAGACTCACGCCGGGAGCATGTGCATGCATGCCCAGGATCCCAAGAGGAGAATGGAGAAGAAGGGACTGCGACGTGGCCATCCCCCCTGGGGGGTGATTTCTCTCTTTCTGTCTCTCTGTCTCTCTCTGTCTGGCAAGCACACACACCCTATGGCAAAAACCTCTCCAAAAAATAATTTATCCGTAGTTTATATTAAAATCATCAACTTTTCTTTCAGAAAAACAAAACATTTAAAAAGACCTAGATAGATCATCTAATTCATTCTCTTTGAAGAAAAGCATTATTCTTTGAAGATTCAAAAACTTTCAAATGAATTTAATTCAAAAGGACTAGTAAATTATTTGGCAATTACTTTATGACAGGTCACTTACTTGGGTTCTTTAATCTGATCATTTAGTTTTTTTTTTTAAGAGGAATTATTTTATTTAGCTTTATTTATTTTAATTTGATCAGAGAGTAACAGAATGACAGAGAGTGAGAAAGCAAGCTACCAGGTCCAGGACTTGAACTATGGTCGGCCATGTGGGAGTACAACGCCCTTAACCATGCCACCTGTTGGCCCAATCATTTACTATTTTTAACTTAGAATCACTTTTTCTAAAAATAATAGAAATATGGATTAAACAGTTATTTTCCAGTTGAATTTATACCAAAAAAAAAAAAAAAATTAGAAAGGGCCAGCAGGTGGCAAAGTAGTTAAAGATACTGGATTCCCACATGGCCAACCACAGGTCAAGTCCTGGACCTGGCAGATTGCTTTCTCATTTTCAATCATTTTCAATTTTTCTCTCTCTGTCTCTTTCTAGTCAAATTTAAAAGTAACAATAACAAATGGAATTAAACAATTATTTAAAAACAAAACAAAACAAAAAACCCTTGGACCATTTAAAAAAAAATTAAGTCAACCCCATAGCCTCGCAGTTAAGGGAGCTGGATCCCACATGACAAACCACAGGTTGAATCCTAGCCCCAGCAGTTTGAAAAAATGCTGGACACGTGCATGTGTGTACAAAATTGCCAGAGAATGGAGAAACAGAAGAGAAGAGACCTCAGTGTAACCACACTCCCCTCAGGGGGTGCTTTCTCTCTCTCATTCTTTCTTTCCCTGGCAAGTGTGTATGCTCTCTGGCAATTAAAACACAAGAGACATGGACCAGCAGGTGGCATAGTTGTTAGGGTGCTGGACTCCCACATGGCCAACTACAGTTTGAGTCCCAGACCAGTGGCTTGAAACTCATTCCAAGCACATATGCATTTGTGCCCAAAATCCTTAGAGGAGAATAGAGAAGGGAATGCAGAGTGGCCATCCCCTGGAGGGTGATTTCTCACTTTCTGTCTCTGTCTCTCTGTGTCTTTCCAGTGAGCACTCTATGGAAAACCTAAAAATAATAAAATAAAATTAAAAAAAATAAGATATGAATTTATACCAAAACTATAAACATATTTATAAAACATACAATATTTATATTTCTATCAATTAGACAGGTTTTTTTTTTAATTTATTTTTTAAATTTTCTTTGAACCACCAAATAGAATGTTTATTTTCCCCACAGCACCTGATGACTTACTTCAGTTCAGGCAGCCCACTGAAGATTTCTTTACGGCTTACTTCAGAAATCCCATTTCCAAGAAATACTTTTGTTCCATCAAATTCTTTGGCTCCCTTCTTACATCTTCCATTAATATCAGAGTAAACAGAAATAACATCTCCAGCTTTCATAACTAGAAAAAGAAGAAAATCAAATTATACTGATATAGGGGCTGGCAGGTGACATAGTGTTTAAGGGAACTAGACTCCCATAGGGCCAACTACAGTACAAATCCCAGACCTGGCGACTTACTTTCTCACTTTCCCTCTCTTGCGCATGCACTCTGTCCCTATCTGGTCATAATAAAAATAAATAAATAAGGTTAAATAAAATAATTCTTAAAAAAATTATACTGATATATATACTCTGGAAGAACAGTGAAAACCGTTAAAGTAGGCTGGGGATTTTTTCAGTGGAATGAAAAGTAGACATGTAACATTTTAAACTGGCTCATTATCACAAAATATTCTGTAATAGAAAATCTGACTGTTTACTTTTAAATAGCCCCTCACAATAAATCTAATTTAAAAGTTTTTTTTTTTTTTTCATTGAAACGGGACCAGCAAGTGGCATGACAGTTAAGGTGCTGAATCCCACATGACCAACCACATGCACAGTTTAAGTCTCAGACCCCGTGGCTTAAAAAACACGCTGGGCATGCATGCGTGTCCAAAATCCATAAAGGAGAGTAGAGGAAAAAGAACTGCAGCCTGGCCATCCCCCTTGGGTTGTGTGTATGGGGGGGCTTTCTTACTTTCCTTCTCTTTCTCTCTCCAGCCAGTGCATGAACCCCATAGCAAACTAAAACAACAATAACAAAAACAAATGAACAGAATAGTCTTCAAAACATTCTACCACAATTAGAAATTTGTAACTGAGCGGAGAAAGGAAGAAAGATAACCTCTACATAAATTACTTCCCCCAAACCTAACATTAAGAGTTTATATAAATCTTGATATTTTGGTTCATTCCTGAAAGTTCTAACTTTCCCTCGAAAGTATTTCTCAAAATCATACATTAAAATTCCTCAAGGGACCAGCAGTTAGCGTAATGGCTATGTTGCTGAACTCCCACGTAGTTGACCGCGGTTCGCGTCCTGGACCCAGTGGCTTAAACTCACGCCAGGTGCATGTGTGTGCGTGCCCAAGATCCTGAGAGAAGAATGGAGGAGAAGGGATTGTGGCGTGGCCATCCCCCCTGGGGGGTGATTTCTCACTTTCTATCTCTCTGTCTCTCTCTGTCTGTCTGGCGAGTGCATGCACCCTATAGCAAAAACCTCTAAAAAAAAATTCCTCAAAAAAATCCTTCTAAACTCCATAACCCTATTAATATTTCTTCTTGCTATTTTCCTGGTATAGTACAATTAGAGCAGAGACTTTATTTTAGAGAGAATTTTGCTATAGGGTGCATGCACTTGCCCAAGGGACAGAAAGTGAGACCAGCCATCCATCCACTGTTCCCAAAGCAGAGACTTTATCAATAAGCACAACTTAAAGATTTTTCAACTTTATCATGGAGTAAAAACAATATGCAATTGGTAGAAAACATGCTTCAAGTACCCATGCAACCATTCTGTTTCTTACTTTCAGTACCTTATTCAATAAATTACACGAGAGGCCAGCAGAAGGAGGTTCAGTTATGTTGTTGGACTATCACGTGGCTGACCACGGTTCAAGTCCTGGACCTAGTGGCTTGAAACTCACTCCAGGCACATGAGCAGTGTGCGTGCATGCATGCCCAAGATCCTAGGAGGAGGAGGGATTGTGGCATGGCCATCCTCAAGGGAGGTGATTTCTCACTTTCCCTCTCACTGTTTCTGTCTGTCTCTTTCTCTGGTGAACACATGCACCCTAAGGCAAAAACCTCTACCAAAATAAATAAATAAATAACATTAGCTACTCAACAATTTTTTAAAAATAGGCTTTGTGTTAAATGATTTTTGCCAAACTGTAGATTAATGTAAGAGTTCTAAGCATGTCAAAAGTAATTTTCCATAGGTTGAGTGCAATAAATGCATTTTCAAAGTATGATGGGTTTATCAGGATATAACCTTGTTACATTAAATAGCATCTGTACACGTAAATGTTTACACACACTGTATATGCATATATGTAGTTAGAACACCTTTAAACTGCTTGGTATAAAGAATTGATTTACATGGCTGATCAAATCTAATTTTTGTAGGGTTTTCATTAAATTATTTTCAGTAACAAATCCCACTGATAGTAATAACAAGAAACTGTATTTCACTTCTAAAAAGCATAATAAGTTTGTTTGACCTACTTAACAAAAGTGATCAGTTCAGCTAGAGCTATGAGCTCCTGTTACAATTATGTACATCAGGATTTAATAAACTTTTTCTGTTAAGGGTAAATATTTTAGACTTTGTAGACATAAGGTCTCTGTAACATAGTCTTTTCCTCCCCTACCCCCTCAAAAAATTTTTTTTAATGAAAAATCTGTATTTACCTTTTGGTCATAGAAAAACATACATGGGCCAGACACAACAGGTGAGCAATAGTTTGCCAAAATCTTTTTTTTTTGAGACTTTTTTTCTTATAGGGCATGTGCGCTCTCCAGAAAGTCAGAGAAAAACAGAGTCAGAAAACAAGAAATCAACCCCCCGGGGCCACGCTGCAATCCCTACTTCTCCATTCTCCTCTCGGGATCTTGGGCATGCACATACATATGTCCAGCATGAGCTTAAGCCACCAGGTCCAAGACTTGAACCGTGGTCAACTACATGGGAGTTCAGTGACATAGCCATTACGCCAACTACTGGTCCCAACAGGTTGCTAAATTCTGATGCGGATGAAATTATTTATTTCAGAGATGAGATAACTGAGGCTCAGAGATGGGTAAGTTTCTAACCAATCAAAACCAACGTTCTTGAGTTTAAATGCAATAAGAGACCACTGAACCACAGTGATCAACTTACAAAGTATATGCAATATGCCCACTGGGTAAATAAATTAAGAACAGCAAGTTTCAGGACCAGGAGTTAGCATAATGGCTATGTCGCTGGACTCTCATGTAGTCAACCGTGGTTTGAGTCCTGGACCCGGTGGGTTAAACTCACGCTGGGCACGAGTGTGTGCGTGCCCAAGATCCCGAGAGGAGAATGGAGGAGAAGGGATTGCGGCGTGGCATTCCCCCCGGTGGGTGATTTCTCGCTATCTATCTCTCTGTCTCTTGTCTGTCTTTCTGGCGAGCACATGCACCCTATAAAAAAAAAAAAAAAAAACAGCAAGTTTCATCCCAATGGTTGGATCCCAGGATATGCATGTTACCCTCACAAATGTGGAAGGGTAGCTTGAGGTTTTATGGCACTGGAGTCAAATATACAAGATGGAACTTCACTGCTATCTTAGACTGCCTTTACTCACCAGTACTGAACCTCTAAGCAACATCATCACATATATCCTTATACAGAAATTTAAAAATTAGCAGAAGATCTTATATGGATTTTTATTAGACCTTATCAGACAAAAATCCTCACTGACTACATTAAATGCAAAGTTTGCAAAATTCCTGACACAGGTAAATTTGAAATGCAGCTGGATGATATTACAATACATTTCATATTTTAAAATGCATGTAAATTTTAGAAAACCATTATAAAAAGAGAATTTTTATTCAATTTTATTTATCATTATCATTTTTCTTCAATTTGCTATAGTGCATGCACATTCATGAGAGATAAAGTGAGAAAGCAAGCAGCCAGGCCCAGGACTCAAACTGTGGTTGGTCATATGGGAGCAGTCTAGCGCCTTAACCACCACGCCACCTGTTGGCTCCAAAAACCTTTAAAGATATCTAAACCTTACACTTACATTTCGAAGCTGACACAATTCCTGGAATATATACATGGGCTCCTCTTAACACTGCATTGCCACACTGGGCTCCAACAATGGCTTCATGTTGTTGTTTTTGTATATTCTTCCTAGAGTTGTAACACAAGAAATTTAGCATATTAACATATCTCCAATGCTTACAAACTTTTAAAATGTTTCAATTTAAACTCTAAATAAACTCTTTAGTCTTGATTGTCCTGAATAATGCCAATGATGACTGAATTGAGCAAATGAATGAATAATTTTCTTTTTTTTTTTGAGAGGTTTTTGCTATAAGGCATCTGTGCTCACCAGAAAGACAGAGAGAGATAAGAAGTGAGAAATCCCCCCCCAGGAGGAATGGCCACGCCACAATCCCTTCTCCTCCATTCTCCTCTCGGGATCTTGGGCATGCATGTGCATGTGCCCGGCATGAGTTTAAGCCACCTGGCTTGGTACTTGAACCACAGTCAACTACATAGGAGTCTAGTAACATAGCCATTATGCCAACTGCTGGTCCCAGAATAATTTTAATTGAGAATGAAAAAAACTGAAAAATGAATGCTAGATGAAGAGGAAATAGCTAAAAAAGAAAAAAGAAGAAAATGGGCACTTGCGAAAAGAAAACAAAACTGAAAGAAGTCCCTCTGATGGAGGCAATGAAGTGACACTAGATATTGCTTTTAAAATTTAACAAATAATAATGTCTTCACAATAGCATTAGAGAAAAAACAGCCTTTCCCTGCCTTCCAAGTCTTCAAAGTCTAAAATTTAAAAATACATGGAGAATTAAAAGTATTTCTAACAAACTGCTACAAGGTAAATTATGAATTCTTTTAAACTAGAAAGACAAATGAAGTAAGTCTTCTTTCTTTCCTTTACTGCCTAACCTTTCTGAGTTTCTTTCTAATTTCTCTA